TTGCCGTACCTACTGCACACGTATATGTACATCCTTTCAAGCTATTAATGAAAAGAAGACCGATTTTTTGTACCGTGCCGAGGTGGTGCTTGTGTAAGGGTCGCGCCTTTTTTCCTTCGTTTCTAGCTAATCAGCCTCGCTTAGTATTTTTTTTTTCTCCTCCAACTGCATTGCGTTGTCTCTGCGAAAAATCAGTACAGCGCGCGAGCAGCAGAAAAAAAAAGTTGTCGTAAACGCGAGACGATACCGATCGAAGTTCATTTTTTACTGTATCTAACCGCTGTACGAAGTCAAGCCCGAGTACGTGTGTATATTGTATATACGATAGCGGTGTAGCCTAGGTAGCTCTCGAGAGCGCTGCGGTATACGTTGCGCTAGGCGACTATACAATATACCTGTGTAGTTCAACGTGTGCGTGCTCCAGACTCTACTGGAGCTCGAGAGTGGAGCTCGCAAAAAAAAAGTGAAAAGTGTAGAGAAGGAAACTATATAAAATGAGAGAGTGAGTGAGAGAGAGGGAGAGAGAGAGAAAAAGAAAAATCGATTTTATAAGCGCCCCGGGGACACCGACGACTCGACCCTGTGTGATGCCTCTTCGAACTGCTGCTGCTTCCACCGCTGCGCTGCACTGCAGTGAAGTTGCACGAACGGTATTCTTTCTTTCTCCTTCTGTGTGTGCAGCAGCTGAAGCAGCTACAAAGAAATAACCGGCTATATTCTTTCGAGTCAGGGCTACTGCAGTTTTTCTTCTTCGTTCTTCGTTCTTCTTCTTCTCTTTATTTAGGTATGTGTGCAGCGAGCGGCATATACATCTACCATTGCTGGACTCGTGCTATATAGCGTACAGCTCCACCTTCTTGGGGAGAAAGAGAAAGAGAGAGAGAAACAGAGAATGTGAAAGAGAGAAAAAGAGAGAAGAGCAGGATCAGCTAGAGTGTTAAAAAAGCTTTGGCTCTTTCTCTTTCTCTGGCTGAGCGCTCCAAAAGTATACAAGCGCTCTGTGCCTGTGACCGACTACGTGTGTGCAAGTACGTGAGCCCATATATCCTATACACACGAGATTTGCGCTGGAATTCAAACACGATATTATGCGCATTTTCGAACAAAAATCAACACTCGTCCTCCACCCCGCCACCCGCTCCTCTATCCCCTCCTTTTTTGCTCCTAATAGTCCAAATAGCTTGTTATGTTTATTTTTCTTGTCTTTTTTCTTCAACGAGCACAAAAGGATGTAATTCGAGAAGTAGCTCCGTACTGGCAACATTAGTTATCTCTTGGATTTTTCTTCCTTACTCTTGGCTGTGTTGTCGAGGAATTGTACGTAACAGCAGTTGCCGAAGAAAAAGAACTTCTTGTCGAGAGAGGCGCACACACACGCGGGCACATACACACGAGAATACACACACAGCATCGAGGCAAGAGAGTTAAGAATTTCCTTGTTGTGTTAAGAGAGAAATCTGCGCAGTACGAAAACTAGTAAATAAAGACGCGATTGTTTGCAGTTAGCCGTGTTCTTTGTTTTTTGCTCGAACAAAATGTACGTAAGCCATCGATGCCGGTGTTTTTTTTTATACTCGCATTTTTTTTTGACTCTTCGATTATAGCGACTAACAGTTTTGAGAAATTAATAAGTTGGAAAATTACGACTGCGCCGTACGGCCGCGTCGTGTTTTTACGGTAAACTAATCTCAACCTTCAATAAATATTAAAAGATATATAAAAATGATTTAAAGTAAACGACGTCGGTGGTAAGTATGACATTTGAGAAACTTTTACGAACAAACATTAAAGGGAAATGACAGATAGAACTGCGGGAGAAAAGATCGTTTGATCGTTCGCCCTTACCCTCCCATTCTATCCTTTTCCCTTTCTCAAGAGAGATGGAGTGCCAAAAGAAGCTGGAGTTTTAATTAAATAAACAGTTTGATACTCAACTTCCTAGCTAGTCAAAGCTTTATACGTACGTATAGAAAAGGCGAGGAGAAAGAAAGGGGAAGAAAGAAAAATAAGCCAGGTCAAAGCGAGATAGCAGAAGATAGAAGCGCAGCAGCAGCGGCAGCGCGGGCGGTGGCGGCGGTGGCGGTAGCAGAGAAAAGCTATAAAAGTAGAAAAGGGCGAGGGATGAAAACGACGCGTAATGCAGTATAGTATAGTATACTGGCGGCAGCAGCAGCAGCAGCAGCAACAGCCCGTAGTAAAGTAATTTCTGAGATTACCAAAGGGGAGAAAGTTAAATCTAAAAAGTCGAAAAGGTGGACTGATGCTACTGCTACTGTGCGCTCCAATGTCTGAGCTTGCGCAGCAAATATACAGCTGGAAATTTCCAACTTCCGATTCTCAAGGCTCCACCGTTATGTTGGTCATTATTCCTCGAGAAGAAAACTCGACTCTCTCTCTCTTTCTCTCCTCTATCTCGTACTTGGCGCATTTTTTTCCCGTTGCCATTATAAGTACGGGGTACTGTACGCGTTCACACCCTCGGATTTCTATGGTATTAAAAAAAAAACTTTTGGTTTTAAGCGTATGCCTGCCTGCCTATACGCGTCCTCATATTATACAGGCGAAACGTTTATGCGTTTTTTCTCGCACAATTTCCGCGTACGTCCCTTTCGGGCAGTCGTTGAGTTTCCTCGCATAAAATCGCGCGTATACATATGCCCCAAGGCCGTTAACGCGTAAGAGGGATCAAGACTTTGAGCTATTTAACGCTAGCTCGAAGCACCTCGCGTTCGCTGCGTGAACCGAGCGGGGTGAAGAATTATCCATCTTTTGCTTTTGCTACAAACGACTTTCTCTTCTTCGCCGAGTTATATCAACATAATTCATCTCTCCTCGTTTTCTTTTCTTTCTTTTTTTTTTTTATTATCTCGGCTACGTAAAACCCCTCAAACGTCGAAGTAGGCAGGCAGGCAGGCAGATGCGCGGCACGGCACAGAGCTCGCAAGGGATAGTTTGCTTCACGCGGAAAACAAACGGACGAGCCGAGAGAGGGTAGTGTATTATAAGCTGCTACGATGGTTTTAACGAGACGCTCGAGAATTTCGAGAGTTTGCAGCTCTGCAACTTTTTAACTTTTTTCTTCGTAGGTTTTTTTTGTGTAAGTTTTCTTCGAAGGCCGCATTTCGAGTGAGAGAGAGAGAGAGAGAGAGAGAAACAGAGATGAGCGAGCATAAGAGATAATGACGCGCGGGCGTTAGGAAAATGCTTCTTTATTCTTCTGGTCGAAAAAGACAACGAGAGGGAAAGAAGATGAGATGACGAGTTCATTTTTTTCCGCGCAACTTTGCATATTTATATTTATCCTATATTTATACACGCACAGCTATAGTACTGCAGCTGTGTAGTATGTATGCACTGGTACTATACACGCTCGCTCTTTCTTATTAAGCACTTTTTCCCGACGACGCGATTTCTCTCCTCTAGCTTCTGCAGCAGCTCTTGGTGTTGGCCCGCTTCTGGCCTTGTAAATTATTTTCTACGCGGATGAATATAGCTTCGGTTCAGCTTAAAAATTCTATTAAACTTGGAGCTCTACTCTCTACCTCTCATTTTTTTCCTCCGCAAGCTCGTGCACTTCTCCGCAAGCTCGCGTATTATCACGGTATGTCGCTGGCGTCGCGTGCTGCCGTATGAATATCATCGGCATAACAGCCACTTGCACACACACCCATACACAGACACATAGAATATCCATGACCGTGGGTGCGAGCTGCAACCTTGCATCGCACCTTATATAGCTAAAGCTCTCTCCTCCTCACTCTCCCTCTCTTTTTTGCGCTCCCGGCGAGCTTTAAATGTTAATCATATGTGCGCGCGCGGTTTTTATATTGGATTGTCTAGCGCTCGTAGAAATTTCTGCTGATGCGTGCGTGCCGCCCCTCTCGAGCGTCAAATCACCCTAATATCGCGGCTTGCGGGCTCTTAACCGACGAAGTGAAATTAGATTTTTTTGCGCTCCTTACCCCGCAGTGATATTAATATTGCCTTTATGCTTTTGATCCCCGCGTTAGCAATGACATTTAGCGGGATTCTCCCAGTGGCGCGAACAGACGTACATAAAAGGAAAAGGGAACAGAGATGGAGTCGAAAAAAGTTGCTCCAACTTATAGAGAGAGTACGCGGAAGGAAAGATTATGGATGGATATATAAGGACGAAGCGACCGTGTGCGCGCGCGCGTGATCGAATAATCGGAAATCTTCAATCTTTCAATGGGCCAAATGAATTGAGTCATCGTCGCCGGTTAAAGTTTCGAACTAATGGCCGACACTAATAGAGTTAAAATCGTCATCGATCCGTCGAGCGATTTGCAACGGTATATAATGGATAAGTCAAATTGTTCGATTAAGATTTTCCGAGACATATTCAAGCTTGAGAAATTCATCGAGTCGAGGATATATAGAGCGCGACGAGGCAGGCAGACTTTGGAAGACTCGAGAAGCGGCGATCCCATCGACCGTGTTGTCGCCCGAGCCAAAAGACTAAAAATAAAGAGAATAAATATAAGAAGTAAGAAGTTTTCAAGTTCAGCTTTGCGAGGGGGGGGGGCGACGCCGACGACGTCTGCTATAAGAGAAAGGGGGACAAGTTGGCAGTGTGCAGCCGTCGAGAGTCGCTGCTCGTCGGATATCCGTCGCCGTCGAATTAATAGCAAGGATAGCTGATATTGTGTGGGTGATGGATATATATTTCGTAGACGAAAGTTTTTTTTTCCGCACGCGCCGAGTCACCGCCAATCGCAGCCGAGAGACGCGTCGATGCGCGCCACGGAATTTCCCTCAAGATGGCCACTCGAAGGTTCATTTGCCTATGCAGGAGAAGGCGAGCCACTCAATCCTGCCTCTCGAATTTCCACGAGTTGCAGTTGTCGAGTCGTCGCTCTCTCTCTCTTCTCGACTCGTCGTCGTTGCTCGTGTATAAATACGCGCTCGACTAGCCATTCGAGTGCCTCGAGGCCGCTATAGGTCCGCATTGTTTCTCTCATCGTCGTCGGAGCACTTACCTGACATTCGTAGGTGCCGTTGTCCCTCTCCTGGACGTACTTGATCTGTAGCGTCCAATCGTCGGAGCCCTCGGGATGCAGCACCTGGAAGCGCTCGTCGTTCGTATACGTGAACATCGAACTGGTGAGGACGTGCCAGTCCCTGCGCCTTATCCACGATATCTGCTCGACAGAAAAAAAAAACAGAAGAAAGATAAGACCATAAATATCAGTTGCACCCATGAATGTATGTATGCAGAGAGTAAATAATCAAGCAAGCCCGCGAGTTAAGCAACGCGTTCTTGTTACGTGGCCTGCAGCCGGTGCATGTGTACGATACGAGTGCGGTAAATTACTATAATCGGTCGGTCGCGCGCGCGCGCAGCGCAGCAGCACGTGAGCGATGATCAAAGAGGCCATACAGCGCCCCGCATCGTGCGCTTGTGTGTGCTCGTGTGTGTGTGTATATAACTGGCTGGGTGTTATAATTTTTACGAGTTGCGATAGTATACGGCCGGGGATGGTTCGGAGGCACGCGAGACGAGAATAAATGAAGACATGCTGTGTTGTTGTTGCACACGTATGGCTATGCATACTAGTAGCTCGGTCTAGCCCAAAGCCTAGCCGTGTTGTTTCGAGCGCCTCGACTTGTATGTCCCGCGACTTTCGATCGCGCAGCACGCGTTGCACACTCACACACACATATACTCGCACACACGAGTCGAATTATTCCGATAAAATTACGGCCACCGCATGAGGCAGAGAGCGGCGCGTGCAGCATGAGCCACGAGAACTCGAGTGCGCAGTGTGCGGCGCATGCAATACGGCTCGCGACCGCATGCAGCTATACTACTTGCTGCACACACACACACGGCGCGCGCGAGCTTTATTTACGATCGTCCAAGTTTTCTCTCTCTCTCGATGTTGCACACTACTACTAGTACTGCGTCGTTGCAAGTTTCGCTCGCGAGCTCGAGAGCTGCAAATATAATTTGAACGTTGATCGATCGCCGGAGGCGGCCCCGCGGAGCTCTAAGATCCATCAACGGAGAACCTTCGCCGACGATTTATCAATTACGATCAATTACCGAGAGCGAGCTTGCGAGGCGCACAACACAACGCGACGCAGCTATATTTATATCGTGCTGCACACGTTGCAACTATATAGCACCGGCTGCGCGCATTGCATTGTACATGAACGAGCGCGCGCGCATACATATACACGCTACACAATAATGGAATTGCCGCCATTTCGATTCGGTTAATCAAATTAGAGCGTCACTCGCGTGGTCAGTAATTATAAATACCGTGTGTATACCACCAGCGGAGCCGGCTGCTTTTGTGTGCAATACGATTTTGCGTTTATTTGTTTTTAGCTTAGAGAATAGCAGTTATAGCACTACGGCGTAGCGCTACAGCAGCGAGATCGTTATATAGCACCTTGTATATATACCGCACGCATATGCCGAGAGCTAATATATTATAGCGTGTTTAGCGCGCTGCGAGAGGTCAGCGATCGCGTTATATGAAACAGCTCGAAAAAGTGGAGAGGAAAAAAAATCCTCGCATGTATAGCTCGCGCACACAACCTACGTGCACACGTAAGTGAAATCAATACTCGCAAGCTCGTGTGCTCGCTATTATAGACGCGCGCGCGGCCAAACTTTACGGACCGTACTATACTACATGAGTGCTTTGTTTATTTTTACCCAACGCTATAGATGACAATTAAGGGCCAAGTGGAGTTGGTGAACTTGGTGGTGCGATTCGCATAAGCGAGTCGCGCAAGTACACTTAAAAAGCCATTCGCCGAGCTAATCGAGCAAGTCTAGTATAGCAGCCGCTGGCGCGCCTCGTGATGGATTAGCTTTCTCTCTCGCTCTCTGTCTTGCGCGTCGCTTATAATTTGGCCTCGAGTCGAAAATCGCCGAGGCAGTGACTTTACAAAGCTTTCCGGTCATTTGTTCCGACGATTCGTGCGCCGCGCGCATAACATAGCAGCTGTAGCCCCGTAAGCTCGCGACCCTCGGCAATCACGTTCAATTCACCAACTTATATTGCACTGCCTGCGCCTCGGTGGTATACTAGCTAGTACTAGTGTACAACGCATAAATGGTAGTGTAAGGATGTGCAATCCGGCAAGGGCTTGTTAAGGTCCTCGGAAATATGCGCCCGCGCGCGCGCTAAGACTCGAGAGGGTATAACATACAGTACGCCCGAAACGTCGGCCCGCCACTCGCGAGCTGTTTGCCAGTCACGAGCTACCGCTACTATGCACACACACACAGAGTAGCGAGAGGAAGATAGCTTTTGAATAATGTTTCGAGCTCGCGATCCGTGTAAGTAGTTATTGTTGTGCAGTTTCAGCCGGATGTATACCTATACGTGTATACGTATAACTGCCTCGAGCGCACACAGAGGCGCCTACTGGCATATACGGCTCACATCCTGGGTGCTGTAGCTATATAAACCCGCCACGCGCGTTACCTATATTATATAGCGTATATAGCATGAGTAAATAATATCTGCCCCATATATACCCGTGTAAGCCTGTTCTTATAAGTTCCACGCATAATAAGCTAAAGCGGCGAAATCTAGGCAAGCTTCAATTGTAACACTCGTAGAGTAGGCTTCTCTCTCTCTCTCTCGCAGCCGCCCCTTTGAAATCCGCGCAGCAATATTCGACCGAACGGATACTTTATCAGCTGGAGGACTATAGTATAGCTACAGGAACGATATTCTACTCGAAATCACCCGTGTGAACGTGTTCCGTTTTCAAACCCGTTAATACCGCGTGACCGACTGATTTTACGGTAGTTTCCAAACGCGCTCACGATCTGCTGCTGCTGCGCATCGCGTCCGCATGATTCAATGCCAGTACGAAATTTTTAATTAAGAAATTCCCCCTTTATTTTCGGCTGCACGCGGAAAAGAGATAGAGGCGAAAGAGAGTTCCTGCTTTTTCCTTTGCTATTGGAATTACGATCCGCAGAGAGTATAGCGACGATGTAAAACACCCGGCCAAGGTTTGCCCTCTTTCCCTCTCTTTCTTGATGAAGCGTGCCGCGGGAAAGAATCGCTATTATTCGCGTTCAAAGTAAATTATCGAGACCGTGCGCGCTGCGCAAAGAAGCTGCAGCTGGGAGCACGCGTGTCTGCGTGAGAAAAAGCGAGAGCGAGAAAGAGAGGGTGGAGCTTCAGCGCTAGCTGGGAAAAATCTGAATTTAATTTCGAAACTCGAGGCTCGGCTCGGAGCTCTCTCTCTCTCTCTCTCTCTCTCTCGCTCGCGCGCGATTGAACTCGATCCCAAGCTTGAGCTGGCATGGTGGGTAGCAGTAGTAAAACGCGAGGCGCGCCCGCTGCTGAAAAGCGAGCAATTGATCTTACGGTGCGCGCCAGCAGCGTATAGCAGCAGCAGTAGCAGCAGCAGCAGCGGGTCATCGACCACAAGTTGCTCCAGAATACGTACGCGCGCAAAAGCCCTCGCGCTATAGCTCTCGCTCTGTTTTTACGTATATCTCTCTCACATACTCTACTGCTACGCTGCGTTACGTGGGTGTATACATATATATTTTAAAGCTGGCCACAGCTCGGTGATTTATTTTACGAAAAATAATGCGAGAGCTATGGGCCACGCTCACGGCTCTGCTGCTGCGAGTGCAAAAACGCGTCGAGTTATTTGTGCCCCTGCGTTCTCGTATACGTATACACATGCACGCGGGCGAGCTCGAGAGCGAGCGTAAAACATTGCGTGTAATTTCGTACGTACACACGGACGAGCGAGCATACACCCATGCGCACGCAATTCCGATGGGAAATCGCGCGTATCTATAAAGCACATAGAAATTCGATTATATTCGAGCGGCGTTTCGATCGTGATCGTCGTCGTCGCCCCTCGCGCACTTACCGTATTACGCGGTACACCTACATATGTACACAGAGGATCGTGCGCACGCGAGAATTCAGGTCAAAATGTAGATGGCGATCTCAATTAATAAACGCGAAAAGAGTATCGAGAAAGTTGCGTTTCATACCTCGGCATCGGAGACTGTCCTCTCGGCTAAGTTGCGCACTTTGCAGTGCAGAAAGGCCGTGCCGCCCAGCTGTACCGTGACGTTCGTCACGGTGTTGTTCTCGTTCGCCTCGTTCACCCGCTGCAGCTCGTCCAGATTGCTGTACCACAGGGCCTTCCAGTCCGACGGTATGCTGTAGGGTATCCGCCGATCTGCAAAAATAACGTCAAACGTTTACGTCAACACATGTAGGTTTCGGTCGAATATAGCTATTACTATAATAATAATAATAGTAATACGAAACATTTATAGTCTTTGGCTTATACAATATTTTGACTGAGCGGGGCTAGTGCGGCTGTACGTAGCTTGTAATGTATGATATTATATATAATATATATATACGTAGGCGGGCCCCTGCAGCACGAGAACCGCAAAAGTACTAGAACCCATATCTCTCGGCCGACTCGAGCTGGTAGTAGTAGTAGGTAGGTAGCGGTACGGCGCGCGGCAACGAACGTACTTGTGGCGACGAAAACGTTTGTTCTGCGTCCTCCTCCTCCTCCTCTGCCCCCTGCTTCAAGCCCTCAGCCTCGAGCAGCACGACTGTACTGCACAGAAGCTCATATATTTCGGCCTCGCGCGCTGTCGCATTGTTCTTGCCCTAAACTCGCTCGTTTCCCTCTTACACCGCTTTTCTCGCTCTCTCCCTCGCACTCCCCCCCCCCCCCCCNCCCCCCCCCGTACTCTCTCTCTTTCTCTCTCTCTCTCTCTCTCTCTGGCTCTACATATATACGTTGTATAGAAAATCCAGTCGTATTATACACATATATTTAAGTAAACGCGCTCGAGCTGGTGCTCTGTAGCTTGCTCACGCGCGCGTGTACATGTATAATATGAAATAGCGCTGAGACGAAAAAAAAGGAGAGAGAGAGAGAGAGAGAAAGAGAAAAAAAGGTCACGGAGCTTTTAAATCGCTTACCACGGCAAGTTGTTTATCAAAGCCGATCTTGCACGCGCGTGCACAGCTCTCTTGGAGCATATACACCACGTGCTATATACCTTACGTGTTTATTCGGAGGTAGGAGAGGGGGAACGAGAGAGAGAGAGAAAAAAAACATCGTCAGCCGCGAATAAGGCAAGTGTCAGAAACACAGGAAAAAGCGAGTCTCGCCCAGTTTTTTTTCTTTCTCTCTTTTTTTTTATTTTATTTTTTTTTTTTTTTTTTNTCGTTCATGATAACAATTTTTTTTTTTTTTTTTTTTTTTCATATTTCTGCCCGATACCGCTGTGATATACTTCCCGCGTGTGCACACGTTCCATTTGCATTTCTATTTTTCTTCCAATTTTCCGAGCTTTGATCTTCGACTTTGATTGGCTTCTCACGCTTGCGCGCACGACTGCTGCTGCAGCAGCTCGCCCCATAAGCTCGTGTTCGCACGTCTAATTAGCCGACCGATAAAATTTACCCCCAGAGGTACTTTCACCCGTGTAAAACCTAATTCGAGGTTTCCAAGAGTAAATATGGAAGGCGTATTTCAACGAAATTCTTGTGCATCATCACAAAGCAAGCCACAATTTTTTCTGGGAGCAATCAATATCATATATATTAAAGCACTGCACAGTCACACACATACACACACGCGAGCGCCAAAAAGCTCGACGCTCTTTGAAAGCACACGTATGTACATTTAGCGGGTAATCCCGCGAAGGCCATTACTCTTTTCATAGCTCGTTGCAGTGGACAGTATAAAGGGCCGTGGGATTGAGCGCTCTGCATAGCCCGCGGCTCTTTCGAAACAATAATTAATATTATTACTCCTACTCTCGGCCATATGACGCGATTTATGATAATGATATATATATATATATATAAAAAACAGAGAAAAGTGCGGCGCGTCGCTTATCTCGTCGCGAGTATCTTTTTGTTTTCGTTTCGCTAGCGCAAGTCGCGCAGTGCTCGACGTTTAGCCGCGCGAATTTACCTTTAACTGAAATATATGGCGAGAGTACAGCTCGCTGCTTTCCCTCTCTCTCTCTCTCTCTTTGCGAACAAACGTGAGTATAACAAAGTGGCCCGTGTGCTTGCTGAGCGCGCGCTTGTTATCATCGGGTGACTGCATTATTTTCTCTCTATATACTCTACGTACGTTATATATAGCGTTTAAGCGCTGTCGCATGTGTCTGTGTTCGTGTGTGTATGTACGTGTGTATGTGTGTGCTTTGCAGCGGGCGAGCATGATGTTACGTGATTTATAATAACGCGTTTCGCTTGCCTGACCGAGCGCCTTTTTCCCCTTTTCGCTCGCACGGATATATCGCTCGTTAATTATGTGCGCCTATAGCTGCTTTTGGTAAAAAATTACATCCCCTCCCAACTCGATGCCTCTTTCTCTCTTTCACGATCCTCGCTGTTGCTGCTGCTTGACTCGTGCATTCCGATTGATTTTTCATCAAAATTCCGATCGCGCGTTACGTTGCCTACCTATGTACGCTCTTGCCATACAGGTATGTCGTTTTTTCTCGGGTAAATACTCCCAAAGTAAAGAATGCGTTGGGGAAAAGCCGTGAAATATATTACGTATTGCTGCGCGCTGCTCTATACAGACGCTTTATTATAGATACATAAAGTTTGGCTCCGACCGATACAGATAGGCGTGTCCGATTGAGTGGAATACATTCGCAAGCTGCTTCGTATTATGCATATAGATGTATTAGGACACTGCACTCGTGTACACGATAACAGGTTGAGCGGTTTTACGAGCCGACGACTCCTGTGATCTTCCTTCCAGAATTTCGACGGCGGTCTTAGTGATAACCCGAGAAAGCCATCCCACCGAGAGAGCAATTATCGATCATTTCGGCATGTAGTTTTTTTCTCTGCGCTGTATACGGGATGAAGGAAAAAGTTGGGAATAAAATTTATCTTTTAAGGAGTTGCACGGCGCGTGTGTAGCATAAACGATTGTTCATACTTTTTCGAAGTGGGATTTCGCAAAGGGTTAATGAATTAATTTGCGAAGGGTAAATGAGTTAATGAATTTTTTATGCTTTTCGATGCGTATTAAAACTTGCGATTCACTCGGTTATCACATTTTTTATTAGTCCTTATCGGGGGTTTTAAGAGCCTCGAGACTTGTAAGTCAAATAGAGAACTTTGAAATGAAAATAAGAACTTTTTTTTAAATTTTGATAGATTAAAAAAATTTCTAACTTGAATCGTTCGCGCGCGCGCGGTTTGCAGTAAAATCTGAAAAAAGCGAAGTAGGGAACAGTCACGTCTCAACTTATTTTTTTTACGCATAATAAGAAAGAGAATAAGAAATTAATTTATATTTTTTTTTCTTACCACTCTAAAGAATAAGAAAAACTGGAAGTAATAATAATCTAATTCCGCGAAACATTTTCCACCCGCAAAGCATATAAAAGATATAAAACGGGCCGGTGCAAGCGAAAAGTAGATTTTTTCAATGTTTAACCGAGATTTACACCTCTAAAATAAAATGGAGAACAAAAAAAAAGCGATAGCACGGGAGGGTATAACAAACGTTGAATAAAGATATATCGTTTTTCATATTTAATTTGACACCTAAAACGATTTGCTCGAAAATACTTATTTAATAATTACGGGCGCGCTCGTGCTACATGGTGTACAAACGACCTGTACATAGGGTAGACTATCCGACAGACTACAGCAGAGCTCGGCGGTGAGAGAGGTGGCGCACGTGCAGCTGCTTTGGCCTAATAATCAATTATTAATCGGGCTTAATTAATAATTCCCTTTGATGTCGGGACGCGTATATTATGCTTTATAGTGGCAGAGTACGTCGTAAGCGCGCGCGCGCGCATGCGACATCCCCAAGCCTGATTCATTTGGCAAAGTTCTGTGCTGTGTACAGCGACGATCGGCGAGCGGAAATGCATTATTCAAACGCAAGCGAGAGGGAGAGAGGAAAGGGTGCGCGCGACAATTAAAATGTCAAATCTTGCGAAATAACCGAAAATCAAAGTCACGCGTACAGTTCATTGGAAAGTTTGGAGGAGTTACAGGCGCTACGTATTTACACGTGTAACGTCTGCATGAATGTATGCTAGCTCGTACATATATTTCGATTCGCGAGCCTTCGAAAGTTGCACGCGAGCGGATTCATCGACATTTTCCAGCGCGCAACTATTCACATACACGTATATATGCGCGCACGTAAACGACGATACGCGTCGTAAACATTTAGATATCGTATACCATACGTCTGTACTACATACACTGTATATGTATATAGGCGAGCTTGCAAGCTCGTACGTATTGTATACGTGTATACAGGTTGGAGTTGCTGTTGCCGCTGTGCTTACGCTCCTCGGGATACAGCGAAACGTCATTTCCATGACACGAGCTTGGGCGAGTTTGCGAACTTTTTTTGCCGTTTTGCGCGCACACGTCCTTCCCCTTTCTACCTTTATACACATACGCAACTATACACATGCCCTCGAGAGCGTTGCTCGAAACAATCACACACACGCGCTACCTCGTCGCAAACGTACTACATACACGTGGCCGGGCACGAGGTGTACGCGCGTTCGTCGTCTCGTGTCATCGGTCTCGCGCAGCACAGCAGTGCGCTAGCACTAGTACAGTTGCTCTGCGCCCGGCGCGTTCGCTATGTACGTTTTACACGGCCCCACGCGCATCGCAACTTTCCGAATGGCTCGTCGCTGTAACGTGTCTCTCCCTCTTTTCTATATCTCTACCTGTGGCGTATTTATATGTATATGCACGCGCATAGTCCATGCACTCGTGTATAAATTCATCAAAATCCGTCTGTGCTCGTATATAATATGTGCTCGCGTAGAGTCCCATATTATATTCGGGTCGAAGTTTAGCTTTGAATTGGATTTCGCGCACAGCTCACGTACGCGCGCGCCTCGCTACGAATGCGCATTATATAGATACGCGCCGCGTGAATTTAATATTTATTTGTTTACTTGGACGCGCCGGTGCGCCGTGTATCCGTACGTATTTAACGACATGATAGACGTATCGCGCGCGCGTACACACATAAGAGGATAATATTCATGAGAGATATCGTATGTATTCGCGCGCGCGCGCAAGCTCACAGCCCAAGGAAGTATACGCATCTGGCAGGGAGGATCGCTTCGTATGTACACACACTCGCACACACACATATAATACAGCAACGGAGTAACAGCTGGCAATACG